ATTACTATTACCATCACTATTAGTATTAGTATTAGTATTTGTAGTAGTCCCAAGATCCCCATCCGTTATGGGAACTGCGATGGTTCCTTCTTTCGTCAATGAACTTTTTCCCTTCACCTCCGCCGCGTGTTGATTTCGTTCACTCCACTCTCGTCCTCTCTGCAAGTTCATCAATTGTCGTTGAAGATGATTCTCTTTGCGTGGTTCAAAGAAGACAATGCCTGGTGGATCCTGTGCCCGGCGAATTAATTTCCCCTTGTCTTCTCCAAACTGTGGCCATCCCCGCACTTCTTCACTCATGGACATCTGCCGCCGACGGGCGTACTCCAATGCCCGTAATTCTCTCTCCTTTGAGTTCATAATGGTATTATAATCTGTACTCATATCACCATTACTAACAATTGCGGGCATGGTGTTGTTGTGAGCAGCAGCGGCTTCACGGGCCGCACGTATACGTTCATTCAATTCTTGTCGAATACGATGCATTTCTGATAACTGTTCATGCCGTGCAAGACTTTCAGACATTTTCCATCCATCATCATGCACCCAATCACGATATCTTCGGTATAGTAATAGCAAGATCATAGATATTCCAAGATAAATAACAAAACCACGTAATAGAATAGATCCCATAGACATACTCCAAGCACGTTGAATTTGTGCATTAAAAGAAAATGGATGGGATGATGAAAAAGGATTATTGGAATAACTTTGATTTCGTTGTTGATACGTGTAATAACCATGAGGATTGGCAGCCCCTTGACGAAAGTAATCACCGTTTGCAGTATCGTAAAAACTATGTGTGCTACCTGAACTTCTATGTGCATACATGGGATTTCCTGTACTCGTACGGTAGTAACGATTACTATATGCACCACTCCCACTACTACTACTACTACTACTACTACTACCAGCCGCCGCCGTACCGTAATAACTTCCCCCACGATAGGCATCTCTCTGTACTTTAAACTGTTCTTTTTCTAATTGGGATAACCCGCTCAGTCTTTCATAGGCTACAGTAATACGACTCATAGTAGCCTCATCCCCACCAGCATCTGGATGATTTTGTTTAACAAGATCACGATATATTTTTTTAAGTTGTTTGGCATCACAATCCACTTCAACTCCTAATGTACTGCAGGCGTCTGATATTTCTGTATAAGTGGGACGACGACCAACACCGGCAGCGAAGCGTCGAGCAGTTAAAGTGGTCGATAAATACAGAGAACTGTACTGCATTGTGGGAAGAAGTGTTTTCATTAAGTGAGAATAACGGCGAATGGCAGTATAGTCCCTGCGGTTTGAGATGGAGACACATTCTTGATAAACAGAGGATGAGCAGTGTTGGCAGCTTCTCTCTGTAGATTTCTCACTTGAGTGTATCTTAACTGGTGAAGAGAGGATTCCAGTAAGAGATACGGGGAGACATGTGCGTCGAAAATACATGGCCAACTAATATATATATATATATATATATATAAGTGTATATTCGGTTGTTATCTCTCTCCTTCTTTTCCTTTTTTTTTTCTTTCTTTATTGGCCTTTTAACCGAAGTTCAGATAAACCTTTGTTTCCTTTCGTCAATTCTTCCTTCGTTTTTTTTTTCTTTTCTTTTTTTTTTTTCTTTTCGTTTCTTGTTCTTGTTGTTGTTAGGAAATAGTGTTCCTGTACGTTATTTCTCTCTCTCTCTCTCTCACTTGGGGGATCTGATCAGCCGCCTCGAAGCTGAAAATAGAAGCCAGAGAGATACCGTAAAGCCAAACACCAGTCAAGCCACATTATAAGAACAAGAAGAGAAAATATTAATAAAAATAATAATAATAATAATAATAAAGGAATAATAATAATAATAATAATAATAATAATAATAATAACAGTATCATCATCATAACTATTATAAATAATTATATATAGTAATAATAATAGTAATAACTACAACAGTAATTCCTTTTTTTTAGTGTAAAAAAAAAGGAACACAGAAGAAAAAGAAAAAAAAAAAAACCTTAACACAAAGAATACATCGTCTGCATGTCTCTTAAAGAGATTGAGAGAAGGAGCAATACGCAACAAACATTTATCATGCATATATATATATATATATATATATATACACTTATTCCTCTCCTTCCTCTTCTTTACCTTCTTCTCCCTCTGGATGTTTGTAAAAGGTGATAAAGAGATAAAAAAAAAAAAGAAAAAAGAAAAAAAAAATGATGGGAGAAAGGAATATTAAAATAGTCCACAAATAAAAAGAGATACACATACAGAGATACACACATATCATTCTCATCCTCTACACTCTCTCTTATACAATTCACAATTCTTCAAAGAAAACATGCGTATGAGGAAAATGACAATACCATTGGAAAATACAAAAAAAAAAAAGAGAGGAGAGAGGGAAACAAAATTGAACGAGATGATAAGAAACGAAAAAAAAAAAAGAAAGAAAAA